TCCGCTTGCTCACACATACCTCATACATACATACTCATACAGTTATATATATATATATATATATATATAGAGAGAGAGAGAGAGAGAGATGTACACACACATTCACTCAACAGATTCTCTTCCTCTCTGGCTCCCTCTGTCTCTCTGTCTCTGTCTGTCTCTGTCTCTCTCTCCCCTCCCCCCTTCTCCCTCTAAAGGACGCGACTGAGCACTGGAGCGTGTGCAGGCTGTGTCAGTCTGTTTGACATCTCAAAGCAGACACGCACTCCCTCCCGTGCAGTCAGCTACTTCCCCACAGGCCTTCCTAGCAGCTCGCTTCTCAGGAGACTCCGACCCCCCACCCCAGCATCCTAGGGGTGCGCCGGGTCACTGTCCACCTTCCTGCCGGCCCTGAGGAGAGGCCCCATGGTGTGGCCCTTTCTGTTCCCCTTCCCTGCCTCCTGGCAGCTCTGAGACTTGGCCTGCGCCCCACTTAGGGTCTTTCTTTGCTTGTGTGGGGTTCAGATCCCAAGTTTGGGGGCTCACTATGTCCCCTGCTGCCCGACCCACTTCCTGCGGCATCTGTGATGGTTCGCTGACTCTGCGCCCCTTTCCCAGGCCCACAGCCGGTGTCTCCTGTCCCCCGACAAAGGGGCAGCTCCCAGAACCACCCCCCCGCCCCCGCTCTCTCTGAGGCCCTGGCTTCCTGAGGTGATGCTGACTTAGATTGAATTTTAATTTTAACGCCCGAAGGGTGAAAGTATCTTCAGAAGACAGAGGTTTCTGAGGGAAATGTTAGCTACTTTCAAGTAGTCCCTGGAAACCTTCCCTCAGAGCCTAGGTTTCTGGGCTGGAAATTGGGGTGTCTGTGGTCTGAAATGTGGGTGGAAGAAAGTTGGGGTCCTGGGGGAGAGGGAGGAAATTCATGGAGCCAAATGTCATTGGGAAGCACTTCTGTCTGGATCGGAAATGGTACCCGGGTATTTTCCTGTTTCCAGTGTGTGTTGGAGGGAGTCGCGTTTGGGGGACCCCTCCTTGGGGAAGAACCAGCCCAGACCCTGCTGCCAGCTCCCTCCCCTGCAGTGTGAGCTGCTCTCCCAGGCAGGCCCACCGTCTGCATCCCACCTCGTCTGGAGGTTGGGACAGCCGCCAGCATCAGGGGCACCCTCCTGGGCCCTTGGGGTGCCACAGACCAGGGTGGTGGCAGGCTCAGCCTGCAGAACATTCTCGGCAGGCAACAACCCTGGGCGCCGTGGGCCACAGTCCAAGGCCTGCCCGTCTCCCCAAGAGGAGAGTCACTGGGAAGGGTGCCTGGAGGTGGCACTGATGGGAGGGACCAGCCGACTTCTGCAGAGGTACAAGACTCGCCCAGGACCGCCCTTCCGGCTCTTGGCATCTTGAGTGACACAGATGGTTCTGGTTCAGGGACTCAGCCCGGCGGGGCGCTGGGCCCAGTAGCAGGAGTCTGTGCTGAGTGGAGCCACTGAGGGAACCCGCGATCCCATTTCTGTGGCGCAGGAGAAACCCGATAGGGCGCAGAGGTGGTTTGGTTTTCCTTGGGGACACACCGGGGATGCTCAGGGCTCACTCCAGGCTCTGCTCTCCCGGGTCAGCTGTGCTGGGGGACCTTAGCGGGTGCCGGGGATCGAACTCAGGTCTGCCCAACCCACTGCACTATGGCCCCGGCTGCACCCCAGGGCGCAAAGAACCTGATGCTGGCAGTAAACAACCACACAATGTTGCCCTGCTGGTTCCAGGTGCCCCGATCCTGCCCACACTGCCTGAGGCTCTGTTGGCCGCGCACCGCGGGCGCCACCTGCTGGCCAGCATGGATCCTGCGGCGGAACCCTGCCACTGCTACTTTTTTTTTCTTTCTTTTTGGGTCACACCGGGGTTACTCCTGGATCATGCACTCAGGAATCACTACCAGCGGCAGTGCTCCGGGGACCATATGGGATGCTAGGAATCAAACCTGAGTTGGTCGCATGCAAGGCAAACGCCCTACCCGCTGTGCTATCGCCCCAGCCCCTGCCACTGCTTCTTGATCCGGGCTTGTGTAAGTTTTCATTTCATTACTGAAAAAGAAGCAGCGGCGGCTGGGGAGAGAATATTTAGACTCTTAATAAGGCAAACTTGACAAGATAGAAAAAAATCACCTCCTAAAGTGGGCTGGGGTGGAGGGGAGGTGATGGGGGAGGCAGGTAATGAGGGGAGGGGTCTTGCATGTGAACTTCAGGGAAGCATTAGAACTTCCTTCTGCCCGACCTGCCCCCAGGGGCCTGCATCAGACCGCCAGGGTGTGCAGGGCCTGTTCTAAGAAAGAGAGAATGCCCAGCTGCCCAGCTTTTAGGGGAACAGAGCAGCTGCAGGAAAGGGTGCGTGGGGCTGGACTGGTGGTCCTTACCCAGACAGGTGTAGCTCCGGAACGGATCCAGCCACGTGTGCCCTGCAGGCCAGCTGGGAGCAGCTGCGGACACTCACTGCCTCCCCTCCGGGTCTGCTCTGGCTTTCGAGCGCGCCCCTGTTCCTTCGGAGGCGTCTCAGCTCCTTAGAACCTGGTGGCAGGCTTGTCATGATCACATCTCCAGGGTGTGGGTCCCACCTCACCAGGTTAGAGTTTGTTCAGATGATTCCCAAGTGCATTTGACTCTGAGCACGTAAAGGTGGGGGCGGGGGTCATGGCAGGAGACTCAGGGGTCAACCTGTAGGATGAGGAGGATCAGGAGGCCACAGCTTGGGAACAGTCGAGAACTGCCACTGTGGAGGTGAAGGCGAGGGTTTGTCGTTATGAGGAATGCCAGGCACGTGGCCCCTCCCCGGGTTCTGGGGCCTGGGTTGGCTGGTGTGCGTCCTGTCACTCGGGGCCAGGGAAGGCTCTCTGTCCCCGGACCGCCCCTGAACAATTCCCAGCTTCTCCCGTGGCCGTTCTGGGTCCTGCATCAGAACAGAGAATCGTGCCCTCGAGCCGCTGACGTGGTGCCCCCATAAGGTCCGTGAGGTTCCCTCTCTCCAGCCTCAGCTGGACATCGGGTTCTCACCAGCACATCTCCACTGGATGCAAGTGATGAAGTTGTGGGTGAATTTTAAATGTGTCTGTGCCTGTGGAGGGGGCGGGGGGAGGGAGAGGCAGGGAGAGTGACAGCGACAAGCTTTAAAAGTCTCAGGGGATTCTCACTGTCTCAGAGCCGCACCCTACGATGCTCCTGGCTTCCTCCTCCCTGTGTTCAGGGACCAGCCCTGGCCAGGCTGGGCATGAGCCGCGCCCATAGCAGTGGAGACCTACACCTTGACCCCTGGACTGTCCCGCCCTGCTGCGGGGAAATTTTGCTATATGCTCAGGCTCGGGTCTCTTCCAGGGCCCAAAGGCTTCGGCAGCAAATGACTAAGCAGCCATCCTCTCAGAGGGCGTCTGGGATGCTGTGACTCGTGGAGTCCCAACCACGATTCCGTCCAGGCAGTGGCCTCTCCTCCCTGGGAGGCCAGACACCCACATGATGCCTGCATGGGGTGGACAGTTGAGAAGAGCAGATCAGTACATCTGTCTCACTGCGGGGCGATCGCGGGTCCCAGTCTCACCTCTGCTATGTTCTGGACCACTGGGGGCTTGATCTCCCTGAGGGCTGACAGAAACGAAGTCAGACTCTTGGAGTCTGTCCCTGGTGCTGTTACTGTATGAGAGTGATGATAGTGTGTTGTGTCACTGTGTGTGGTGGTGTGGCACTGTGTTTGTGCGGTGCTGTGCAGTACTGTGGTTGAGTGGTGCCATTGTGTGTGATTGTGTGGTGCTATGTTGTGTGGTACTGTCATTCTGAGGTGTTATAGTTGTGCAGTGCTGTTTGTACAGTGTTTTGGCTGTGTGATGCTGTGTTGTGCAGTGCTATGATTGTGTGGTGCTGTGTTGTGTGGTGCTGTTTGTGGTGCATGGTTGTGCGATGCTATTGTGGTGCTGTGGTTGTGTGGTGCTATGTTTGTGGTGCTTGGTTGTGTGATGCTGTGCAGTGCTGTGGTTGTGCGGTGCTGTGGTTGTGTGGTGCTGTGGTTGTGCGGTGCTATGTTGTGCGGTGCTGTGGTTGTGCGGTGCTGTGGTTGTGCGGTGCAGTGTTGTGTGGTACTGTGTTGTGTGGTACTGTGGTTGTGTGGTACTGCGGGTGTATGATGCTGTATTGTGCGGTGCTGTATTGTGCGGTGCTGTGGTGTGTGGTACTGTGGTTGTGCAGTGCTGTGGTTGCGTGGTGCTGTGGTTGTGTGGTACTGTGTTGTGTGGTGCTGTGGTCGTGTGGTGCAGTGTTGTGTGGTGCTGTGGTTACGAGGTGCTGTGTTGTGTGGTGCTGTTGTGTGGTGCTGCGGTCGTGTGGTTTTGCCGTTGTGTAGTGTGGTATGGTGCAGGCAGCCAGCCCGGCTGTCCCCCGAGGAGTCTGGAGATCCCCTTGGGAACCTGACTGGAGTCTGGGAGGACCAGAGCCTGTAGAGCCTCGGGCAGGCGTCACAGCCCCTGTGAACGGTGCCCTGGGGCACGGGGCATCTGGGCCTGTTCTCATCTGCGTCTGCGGAGCTGGGCCCCCGTCGCCCGCTGCCTGCGCATGTACCTAGTTTCCCCCCGTTTGTGTGTTTGCACCCCAGGGAACCCTTTGGGCCGTGAATTCCCAGGTCCTGCGTGTTGGCCCGGCCACACAGCGGCCGCCGTGTCCCGGCTCTGGTGCTGCCGTTTCACCCGGGCAGGGCCCCACCGGGCCACGGAGGGGGTCCAGGAGGTGGGCGCAGAGAGACCACCGTGCTGCTGGAGCTGGTGCCAGGCTCACTTGGTGCGACCCTGGAGCCCCCCTGGGGTTACCTGTCGCCGGCCTGGACAACCCCCGTCGGGGAGGCGGCTGGGGGCTTAGCCAGAAGCTTCGGGATGAGTCAAGTCAGGGTCACTGGGCGCGACTGCACAAGAAGTGTTTCCAGAGATGCCGAAGGGGTCCTGAGGGCCAGGTTGGAATGACGGAGCAGGCCTGACCCCCGCCCCTGCTTTCTCTTCGCAGGAAGCGCCCGCAGCCCCCCGCCCTACGGCTTCCGGCACCTGGCGACGGACGAGGAGCTGAGGCGGCAGCGGCTGCAGCGCTTCGACGGCCAGTGAGCGCCCCGCCCGCCCGCCTGGATGGACGGAAGCACCGGCCGGCCGCCGCCTGGACACCAACCACTCCCCCCGCACACAGCCCGCCCTGCCCTGACCCGGCCGGGCCACCCGCCAGCCCGCTGCGCCCCCTCCCGCACCTGGCACGGAGAGGTGGGCACGCTGGCATCCGGAGCAGGGGGTGGCAGGCCGGCTGACGCACCTCTGCCCTCCTGCACCCGACGCCCAGCACCCAGCCCAGAGCACTGCCCCGGGCTCCCTTTGCCTTTCCCGAAAGTGTGACCCATGCCAGGGAGCAAAGCCACGTCCACGCACCGGCAGGCACCGGCAGGATAATGCCACATACGTGTCTGTCTGCGCCAGGCCTGTGTCTGCACCGGGCATGTTCGAGACGAGTCTGTGTCACCTCCGTGGCTGCATCAGTTTCGTGGCTATGCCAGATGGCATTAGCTCGGACTCTGCATAAGATTCGTGTCTGCATCAGACCTTGCGTCTACATCAGATCCGTGTCTGCGTCACGTCCATGCCTGCGTCAGGCTTGTGGCCGAGTCAAGCCCGTGTCGACACCGGATACGTGAGATACGAGTCTCCGTCAGATTCGCGTCTACGTCAGGCTCATGTCTACGCCCCATACGTTAGTTATGAGTCTACGTCAGATGCACTGGTGTCTGCGTCAGATGCGTCTGATGCCAGTCTGTGTCAGGTCCGTGTCTGCGTCAGATGCATTTGATGCCAGTCTGCGTCAGGTCCGTGTCTGCGTCAGGTGCGTTTGATGCCAGTCTGCGTCAGGTCCGTGTCTGCGTCAGGTGCGTTTGATGCCAGTCTGCGTCAGGTCCGTGTCTGCGTCAGATGCGTTTGATGCCAGTCTGCGTCAGGTCCGTGTCTGCGTCAGATGCGTTTGATACGAGTATGCATCAGGTCCATGCCTGCATCAGGCACTATCTGCGTCTTTTGCGTGACGATGTCAGATACGTCGCCTGACTCAAGATTCCCAGGGCCACTGAGAGGGGAGCCAAGGCGGTCAGTGATCGGGTCGCTGAAAGATCCCTCAAGATGACGTCATGGTTTCTCCCCCCCCCATGAAAGTGCCTTTGAGTTGGCCACAGCCGCGTGCTGTTGGCCCACGTGCCCAAGGCGTTGTCCCGCCCCCGCCGCGCTGCCTGCTGCCCACACACTGCCCACACCCGGGATGGAGATTTCGGTACTTGGGTTTGGAGAATAACGAGACCAAAGATACCCCCACCCCCCAAGGCTTTGCCCCCCCCCCCCCCAGAGATTTATTTTTAGAGTGTCAGGAGCAGAATGGGCCTTCCCATTTTGACTTCACATTTATCTATCATTTTCTAATTATGAAAGTAATATATAGGCCTGCTACCTGCCTCGGCGTCCAAGCGGAGGCGGGAGCGCATCTGTGTTTTTTTTTCCTTGGATTTGTTTGTTTTATGTTTGTTTTCTGGGAGGTTTATCTTTGTGGGTGATGCACTTCAGATGTTTACCTTTTATTGTTTGGGGATTGGTTTGGGTTTGGGTTTTTTTGCAGTTTTATATTGTAAAAATGTGCGTATATGCATTTTCAACAGTCAAGAAGATTAATTTGTACAGCAGTCAAGAATGTGTTCTAGAAGAAATGGTCTGGGTTCCATGTCTACCGAAAAAAAAATGTATTTAATAAGCAGAATACAAATAAATGCATACGCCTTTTAAAAAATCACACCTGTTCTGATCACTCACACGTGCCCCAGTTTGAACTCTGCGAACCTGGTTTTCCCACTTTCCCCTGCCAAACCTGCCACCACTTTGCGCCACCAGCTCGCTCTCAGCTGCCTTGGCAGAGCCAGGGACACTTGCAGGCTCATGAGACCCGGCATGAGTCCAGGGAGCTCCGGATGCCAGTCTGCAGCTCCTTGGGTCACTTGGTAACTGAGGCAGAGCTCCAGCTAAGTACCTGTGAGCCTTGTGGTGTCTGCACTCAAGCCAACTGGAATCCCTCTTGCCCCAGTCCTTCAGCGTCTTGCCCCCGGGATGCCCGTTAGAAGTAACCTCCTGGGTTGGAGAGATAGTACAAGGGGTTAAAGCTCCTGCCTTGCACATGACCATCCTGGTGCGAGTTTGCCACCATGTATGGTCCCAGAGCACTGCAGGAGTGAGCCCTGAGCACCTAGGCTGTGCCTACAAAACCATACATAAGTAAAAGTGACTTTCTGCATCTCACATGTTCCCAGGGCCACGAGACTCTGCTCTAGTCCTGCGTGCTCAGCCTCCTGGGTGAATGGAGGCCCAGACGAGCCTGTGTCTTATTTGTGGGTCTTATTTGCTCCCCCCACCCCCATTCTTTTTTCCCTCCCTGGAGCGATAGCACAGCGGTAAGGCATTTGCCTTGAGCACAGCCAGCCTGACTGAGCTGGGTTTGATTCCTCCACCCGTCTCGGAGAGCCCGGCAAGCTACCCAGTATCTTGCCCGCACGGCAGAGCCTGGCAAGCTACCCGTGACGTGTTCAATATGCCAAATACAGTAACAACAAATCTCAAAAAAAAAATGGAGACATTACTGGGCCCGCTGGAGCAAATCAATGAACAACAGGAGAACAGTGTTTGTTTTGTGTTTGTCATCCACCAGGGCTCCTGGGAGCAGCTTCTGAAATGTACATTTCCCACTCAGATTGGTTGGTTGGTTGGTTGGTTGGTTGGTTTCACTCACATTGAATGTCCAACTCTATGAGTATGGAATTTGAATATTTGGTTGTTGTTGTTTAAATTATCATTGCCCTGGAGATAAATAATAGCTCCTGGCTCTGTTTGCCTTGTCAAGATCTGAAGACACCAGAATCGGGCTGGGCGTGGCCTGACTGTAATCTACACGCCTTCTTTATTCATGGAGTCGGAACCTCAGGAAACGGGTTTGGAGATGTGGAAGAGGTCCTTTGAGTTATAAATATAAACCCATTATCATAGCACACCAGCCAAGATGCTCCGGAAATTATTATAATTACTCTGTTCCCTGAATAGCCTTGCTCATAACCAGTGCTCTTTTTCAGTGTCCATCTTATTTCCACCACCACCCCCAAAGCAATAAAGAATCTCCAGAGTTATGCCAATAGAGTGAGTGGAATTAGGTTAAGACAGACAAACAGACAAAATCCAGTGTCTTGGATTCATGATCTTGAATTGGTATTTTGAGTTTGGGTTCCGTGCTCAGAGTTGCTGATCTCTGACCATCCCATTTTTGGTCGACTGGCCGTCAGCTGAGGAGAAACCTTGCTTCCAAATCTTGCCTCGCCTGTCGAGAGGAAGGGGTGGTTCCCACACACTCCCTCAACCACCTCTCACGGACCTTAGTGGCCTGCAGTTCCAAAGTCCTTGTCCTTGGTTTAGGAGATTTTATTTTGTTTTTGTTTTCGTTTTTGTTTCCCTTTGGGGCCACACCTGGCAATACTCAGAGGTTACTCCTGGCTCTGCACTCAGGAATTACTCTGGCAGTTCTTAGGGGACCGTATGGAATGCCAGGGATTGAACCCAGGCCGGCCATGTGCCAGGCAAACATCCTACCAACTGTACTTGGCTCCAGCCCAAGTTCTTGGTCTTTGAGTGCTCCATCCCTGAGCACGGTGTGACTAGGGGGAGAGAGCTTGGGGTCAGCGTGTGAATCTGGCATAATTCCTGCCTGGAATGTGAGTCTCCTAAGGGTCGCAACCCCCTCCCACGTGGCCTCTTCACTTCTCTGGGGAGATTCGGCCAAGAACTGCGTTCAGTTCTCGTTTGAACAGGATGGACCTCCCTTGCTCTCCCTTCCTGTGCTTCCAGCCTTTCCTGATCTCCCCCCTTGCCCCAGTCTTTCCTTTAGAACACAGGCTCTGCATAGAGAGACCTTTACCCCTCCACTTCCTGCCTGCTGGTGCTTTACCTTACCACTTGACTCTATGTTCCACTAGGAGCTCATCTTCCCCAAGGGCCCTGCCCCTCTCTCCATGCCTTTTATTGCCTCTCTGTAACCAAAGAATAAAGCACAGAGTCACTCACCTCGACTTAGGGTCTTGGGTCTGCCCCTGAGTCTCACGCCCACTTACCTGGGTCAGAGGCCTACACTTCTACCAACTTGCCTCGTTGTCCTCGCCGCCAGACTCCCCTTGCCCTGTCCATCTGGGAGGTGCTTTGAGAGGAAACAGCCCTCTGGAGCCTGGCCTGATCATGAGGTAGACCCCTAGGGCACCAGCAGATACCCTGGGACACATTATGCCCGCTTGTTTGAGGAGGACTTAATCACGGCCCATGGGAGCCACTGCGTTTGGCCACCGCCCTTGCTGTGGCATGGGAAGAGACAGACGTGCAGCCTCTAGGGTCCTGAGCCTGGGAAGGCACTGGACACCAGCCAGCTCATGCCCACGTCTACCACCAGCTCTCCCTGCACGAAACCTGCATTGCCTCCCTCCCCGGCCTCCTGGCCAGCGTTTCTTCCAGGAAGTATAAATTTCTTTCTTTTTATTTCCCCTAAATGTTGGGAAACATGCTCATAAACAAAACACAAATCAAATCCCCAAAAGAATGACATCCTTGCTGTGGGGTACTTATTTGTGGTCGTTCAAAAAATAACTGCTTCTCCCTAAGAGATGCTGTCTCTTGATAAGTCCCCTCCCTCAACCTCAGTTACCTTCTGACCATGACTCAAAGTTATTTATTGAGACTCTTGAACGCAGTCCCAGGATTTCATTGAATGAAAGCAAGAAGGTCCCCAACCCTGCCCCTCAGAGCTGTGGCCCCTGCCCAGCAGAGCCGAGGCACCCAGGAGTTGCCGTGGATAAAAACACAATGTGCATGTGAATGCACGTACACACACACACACACACACACACACACACACACACACACACACACACACACTCACACAGTGGTGGAAAACCATTCAGTCCCGCCACCTCTAACAGCCTGGATGAACCTAGAGGATGTTGGTGTTAAGTGAAATGAACCAGAGATATGATCTCACTTTATATGTGGAGTCTTAAAAACAAGCTCATAAAAGAAGGATGCTCGGTGGGTGGGTGGGTGGGGTGAGGAGATGTCTAAAGGTACAAACTTCCAGTTCTCAAATGAATATATGGGGACTGCAACGATAGTACAGTGGGTAGAGCATTTACCTTGCACCCAACCATCCCGGATTCGATTCCCAGCATCCCATATTGTCCCCTGAGCACTAGCAGGAGTAATTCCTGAGTGCAGAGCCAGGAGTAACCCCCGTGCATTGCCGGGTGTGACCCAAAAAACACTGCACTGTAGCACTGTCCTTTTGTTCATCGATTTGCTCGAGCAGACCCAGTAACGTCTCTATTTTGAGACTTATTGTCACTGTGTTTGGCATATTGAATACGTCATGCGTAGCTTGCCAGGCTTTGCCATGCAGGTGAGATACTCCTCTCGGTAGCTTGCCGGGCTCTCCGAGAGGGGCAGAGGAATCGAACTCGGGTCAGCCATGTTGGCTGCATGCAAGGCGAAAGCCCTACCCACTGTGCTATTGCTCCAACCCCTGTGCTATGGCTCCAGCCCATCCCAAAAAGCAAAAAAAAAAAAAAAAAAAAAAAAAAAATGAATATATGAATCCCATCCCAATTCATGTTAAAGCCATTCTGCTGTATACTGAAAGTG